TGAGATATTAAAGTGTCTCACCTGTGTGGTCTCTTTGCACCAGGTGAGATATTAAAGTGTCTCACATTAAAGTGTCTCACCTGTGTGGTCTCTCTGCACCAGGTGAGATATTAAAGTGTCTCACCTGTGTGGTCTCTCTGCACCAGGTGAGATATTAAAGTGTCTCACCTGTGAGGTCTCTGTGCACCAGGTGAGATATTAAAGTGTCTCACCTGTGTGGTCTCTGTGCACCAGGTGAGATATTAAAGTGTCTCACCTGTGAGGTCTCTCTGCACCAGGTGAGATATTAAAGTGTCTCACCTGTGTGGTCTCTCTGCACCAGGTGAGATATTAAAGTGTCTCACCTGTGTGGTCTCTCTGCACCAGGTGAGATATTAAAGTGTCTCACCTGTGTGGTCTCTCTGCACCAGGTGAGATATTAAAGTGTCTCACCTGTGAGGTCTCTGTGCACCAGGTGAGATATTAAAGTGTCTCACCTGTGTGGTCTCTGTGCACCAGGTGAGATATTAAAGTGTCTCACCTGTGTGGTCTCTGTGCACCAGGTGAGATATTAAAGTGTCTCACCTGTGTGGTCTCTTTGCGCCAGGTGCCTCCACAGCGACACATCCTGGCAGCAGATGTTCAGGTGTTTGCAGGTGGAGGAAACGCTGAGCACTGATTGGACGTTGAGCAGTCGGAGGACTCTGAGCAGCAGCTCGGGGGGGAGAGCGGCGAGGCCGAACACCACCGGGAGAGACATCGCTGATAACAGACAAATATAAAGATTATATATTGATTAATAAACACCACACTCTAATTAATAAATAAATAATGTTATATATATTTGTGTACGTCCTGTACCTGCTCGAGCTGCAGCGATCAGAGGATAAGAAATCTGATCTTTGAAGAGACGAGACAGTTTGCTCAGGTCTTTGAACGCAGCGGCTGCACTTTCTCCTGAAACACACATTTAATATATTGTTATTATGATCATTTTCACACATCTCTGCATTATAGTAGCTGTAATAACAACACCTCTCCACTGGGGGGTGAGGAATCCGTCCGGCTTCACACACAGCTTAGGGACCGTGTCTACTTTCTCCCCCACCTTCAGAGTGGCTGCAGGGAAACACAGAAGAAAAATAAAATCAATAATGAAATGTTATGACCCCCGAACGTTCGTAAAATAATTAATAAACTGACCGTTGATGACGAGTTCAGGGCCCATGGTTACTGCCAGCACCATGACTCGGCTGTTTTCACACAGAGGGTGAGAATACTGCAGCTTATAGACAGAAGGAGACCTCCATCCTGCAGGCATCTGACCTTTAGCACAGTCCTACACACACACACACACACACACACACACACACACACACACACACACACACACACACACACACACACACACACACACACACACACACACACACACACACACACACACACACACACACACACACACACACACACACACACACACACACACACACAC